CCTCAGGGTTTGCGTGCATTTCCCAGCTCCGTGGAGAAACACGTAGGGTGGGTGGGTGCCTCATTTCCCCCAAGGCAGCTGGGGCCTGGTGCATGCCACCAGCGAGGGCTCGCTGAGAGCATCCTGTAGGGGCACCCGGGGCTGCGTGGGGGACCCGGAGGTTGTGTCTGGGCAGCCTGGTTGGCGCTGGGTCGCAGCTCTGCTGCTGTTCAGATCCTGCCAGGCCATGGGGGCAGGGACCGGGGGTCCCGGTAACCGCAGGCAGAGCCGGGGCACAGGGCTCTGCCATGTATCACCCCACTAGCAGCCACCCTGGAAGGGGCTTTGCAGCCTCTTGCTTTTTTGGATGCTGCACGACGCGGGTTGCGCTGCAGAGAGCCCCCAGCTGTTTGCCTGATAATTTATGGGGGCAGGTGTAAAGCTGAGAAATGTTGATTTTTCCCTCGCCAACGTGCTGTGCTCTCTGCTGAGCGGGAGCTGGCGTGCCGGCCAGGGGCAGGGCGCAGCAGGGTGCAGCGTGCAGGCTGCTGCGCTGAGCTCCAGCCTGACATGGAAGGAAGGATGGCTGATGTTTACTGTCAGAGCTGGGCTAGAGCTGCTGTTAATGCACCTAAAGAAACCCCTATGTGTGACACATGGGTGTCCCTTACCCATCCTTTGACCTGTTGCACCCCAGCGTGGGCTCGGGGTGAGCTGTGTTTGCTGGGACATGCCTGGACACCCCGGGCAATTTCCTTTAGAAATCCCCTCAGGTTTTATTTTTTCCCTAGCAAATTCTAGCTTAATTCCCTCTTCTGTCTGTTGAGTGCTCAGAGTTAATTGAAAGCTGCTGCTTTTGTCCTGTAATCTCAGAGGAAGTGGTGCTTGTTGCTCCTGGACGGTAATCCCCGTCTTTTGCACGAGGGATTGCAGGCTCTCCTGTGGGCGCACCCACTGCCAGCGCGGCCCCGAGCTCTGCACAAAGGCGTCGATGCAAAACATAGAGGCACCTTCCACCCTTTCTCCTCCTTTGCATCTTGTGTTGAGGTTTGGGGGTGCGGGTGGAGGGTGCGAATGCAGGCAGGGCTGTGCTCCCCGGAGGGCTGCCTGTCCCTCATGGGCAGGCAGCTGCTGCTGCTTGGCTGTGCCCCAGAGCCTGGGGCTGCCAAAGCTGAGGGTGTATGTGCTGTCAGCAGCACGACAGCCAGCCATGTCGTTATTTGCATGATCCTGTCTTGTATCCGTTGCTGCTTTCTGCTTCTAAAAGATAGTGGATCCTGCTGAGGAGCTGTGAGTGTTGCACAGCGCGAGTCCCCTGGTCTGGTCTGAGCTTGCTGCATTCTTGCAGGCGCCTAAGCCAGCATGTAACTCCCCTTGAGCAGGAGATCCAAGGGTTTAACTCTCCTGCTGTAACCCTTGACGGGTCTGGTCTGCATTTTGAGGTGTGCCCTGCCATCTCCACTGGTCCCCCTCCTGCCATGCCACTGTTCAGGGCCATCACTCTAAAGCTCAGCCCCTTCCAGGTCTTGCCCTTCTTGGAGGAGCTGATGCCCTGCAAGTGGGCGTGCAGACACGGCTGTAGCTGTTACCTTCTCCTGCTCTGAAAATGCATGGTTTTTTTTCTGAACTGGAACCAGGCAGTTTGCATCCCACCTTGCCACTTCTTAGTTTCCTTAATAATCTCCCCAGGTAGAGACAGTTTCTCCGAGGTTTGCTCGGAGAAGGTTGAAGGCGTATGTTGTCTCTTGGGTTCCTCTGTTGAGTGTAACCTGGCTCCTGCAAACACAAGTGGGGTGTTTGCTTCTGCACGCCATCATCCCTTGGACATTGAAACCAGTCTCCCTGGACTGCAGATCCCCAGCGTCTTTTCCAAGACAGGTGACTTCTGGCCTAAAAAACCCATGTAACCTTTGCTGCTGCAGAGATGGGGTGAGCGCGGATGCAGTGGTGCATAACCCTGGAGGATGGAGGGGGTGAGCAGCCCATGGGTGCTGGGAGGCTGTGACTCCACGTAGGGGTGGGCACCTTTTTGTTTATGGGACAAGTGGCTGAGCCTGGCAGCCCCCACGGGCAGTTGTGTTGGAAAGAAGTAATTTATCTCGTCCTCAGCGTTGCCCACCTCGTCTCCGTTTCACACTTTATTTAGCATCGCTTATGGTGCTTCATGCTTGCAATGCCACCCCTGAATTTGGGATGTTTCTAGGAAATTCCTCCCCACTCCTGGCTCTGCTCTCACCTTTATCCAAATGGATTTTTTGCTTTGATTTTGCTAAGTTGGGCACCATCTCCAGAAAACATTCAGATGCAAAGGGCAAGGCTCAGTGGCTGTCATGGACCCCCAAAGCTGTCAGGGGACCTCTGTGCACCCCATGCGCTGCCTCCAGGAGCCGCAGGGCTCTTCTGCCTGCCGCAGCCTGGCCGCAGATGGGGTCAGCTTTACCATCCTAAGCTCTCTTCCAGTTTGCTGGGCACTTTTCTGCTCTCCGATCCTAATCCAGTTATTATGGCTTAGCAGCACGGCTTGCCTCCGAGGGACAAGCTCGGGGCGGGCTGTGCGGCTGCTGGGCTGCGGCTACTGCGTGGGTTTATTGGCGTTGCAGGATGCGGGTGAATTCCTGCCACTGGAGCAAAGGGAGGCACCGCTTTCCCGGCCCCCCCAGTGCCAGCCGTGCTGCAAACCCCCCAGCCCCGCTCCCCACGGGAGCATCCTGCGAAGGAGCAGCTCAAGGCTGTACCACCGGGCTCTGCCCAGGCAGCGGCTTGCGCCAGACACGGCCTCCCCCTAAAATAACGGTTGCTACAACCCGAGGTATAAACAAGCAGGAGCTCTTAGCACGGTGAGCCCAGGCTTCCTTCCAGCAAATGTAAGGTTTGGTTGGGTTTTTTCCAAGGTCCCTGCTCCCTGCCCTGCCTGGCTCCTGCCTGGGGAAGCCTCATGGCAAACAGGAACCGGTACAGTCAGCGCTGGAGTGGGATGCAGACAGCCCCGCGTGCCTCTGCAATCGTATTCAAGCCACGATTCGCATGACTTTGGTGGTGAAAGGTTGTTTTCCCCCATCCTGTTGCAGAGCGACTGCTCACCTGCGACGCATTACGCAATTTTTCCCATGAAAGCTCCCAAGGAATAGATCCCATAAACCAGCTCCCCGGGCTGGTTTGGCTTACAGGGGTTTTGCTGGTGTCCCTGGGGCGGTGGCACTGCAGTGTGGGGTGGGCAGTGCTGGTGGTGGGTTTCCATCGGGGTCGTCGCCCTGGGGTGCACTGCAGCCATCGCAGGGCTGTCTGCCGGCACGTGCAGTTCGTCCGTGGGGAGTTTCACACCTGAGCTGTCCAGGGGGGGGTTTCTGAAACATGCCTGCAATGATGCCACTTCATGGGACGGTCTCTGGCTGTCCCTGGAGCAGCCCAGCCGGGTGTCCCTGGGATACCCCGCTGCCCATCTCGGTGCCTCAGGGCTGTTTCTGCCCTGCTGTTGTTCCCAAGACCCCCTGGCAAGAAGCAGAGTGGTGGAGAGTGGCAGGACGCTGGTGGCTGCAGTGCCGCCGGGCTCTGGCAGCCTGGGCCAGGAGATAATCCAGGATTGTCTAATTGATGTTCCTTATTTGTCACATAGTGTTTAAAGCCAACAGTGAGCGACTGTGTTGACTTGTCCCCTCAGCTGCCGCCCCCCCTCCCTGGGCTCGGCTTTGCCTTTTGGGGGAATTCTTGCAGCTGGGGCTTTGTCTCTGCCGGGCGAGCACGGCAGCGAGCGTGCCAGAGCCTGGCAGAGCCAGCGCGGTGCTGCTGTCTCAGGCTGTAGGTCACTGTCACGGGCGGTGTCGGGAGCAGCGGGGTACTGTCCCCCTTTGCCTGGGGTGAATCGGGGCTGTGCATCCCCGCTGTCTGTGCTGGATCCTCATCTTGTCCCTTCCCGGGCCATGCTGCAGTGCAACACGGCAGCGTGAGCCCCTCACTTCTCAAGTGGCAATTGCATTTGGCAGTGACAGGGGGTGTTTAGTGGCGGGGGTTTTTTGGCAAGAAAGCAGATGCTTGATCCCTTCCCAGGAGTGTGCTGGGTCCACCGGGTCTTGTCGAGAAGGAGAACAGTCAGTGTGACAGCTGGAGCGTTTGCTTGGAGGATTTGGGTTGAGACCATGTTCATGGGGACCTGAAAAGAGCTTTGGGCAGCGCAAGCTTGTGTGGGTCCCCAGGGACCGAAGGGGACAGTCCTTGAGTATCCCCAGTGGCCATAGCTCTGTGCTGGACGGGGAAGTGGCACTGGGGCTGCGGCTGGAAATGGGGGGGCCCCAGCCCGCGCGGCGCGGGCGACCAGAGGCACTGGGGCTGCGGCTGGGACAGGGGGTCCCACAGCGGCTGTGTGCCGCAGACCCAGAGGAGGCTTTGGGTCAGCACTGGTGCCAGCAGGACGTCACCCCTGGCCCTGCTGCGACAGCGATGCCGCAGCCCCGCAACGGAGGCTCTGCTGGGCTGGGAGAGGTTTGTCACCATGAGAGTTGATGAGACCAGGAAGGGGTGGAACGGGGACCCAGCGCGGCAATTGCTGCTTGGTGGCAAATCGAGGGGCAACTTCTGGTCCCCAGCGCTGGCGGCATCTCACTCGTCCCCACATTGCCTCCCCTGTCCTCGCCTGCCTCCCTGAGACATCTTTTCCAAAGACAACCTACGTTTTTCTCGACGTGGCTGCCGCCTGTGCTGCTCCTGCAGCTCCTCTCCCTCCCCCACCTTCCTCTTTCTTTTACTGCAAATATTTATAGGCGCCCATGTTGGCTGTCCCCCCCCGCCGGGTGGCTGGCTCGCCGGTGGGTGATGGTGCCCAGCTGGCTCTGAGTCCTTTTCCTGCAAGTATGGGGCTTGACCCGAGGGGTTGAAGGTCTGTGAAAATGGCTCATGGGATGGAGGAGGGCAGGGGACCCATGGTGGGGAGGTGTCCCAGGGGCAAAAGAGGGGAGAGCAAGCTGCGGAGTCTGTCGCCTCTAACACGCACCTCCCCACAGGATGAGATCGAGGAGCTGCGCGCCGAAATGCTGGAGATGAGGGATGTCTACATGGAGGAGGACGTCTACCAGCTGCAGGAGCTCCGGCAGCAGCTGGACCAGGCCAGCAAGACCTGCCGCATCCTGCAGTACCGGCTGCGCAAGGCCGAGCGCCGCAGCCTGCGCGTGGCGCAGACAGGCCAGGTGGATGGCGAGCTCATCCACAGCCTCGAGCAGGACGTCAAGGTGAGGCCAGAAGGGCGACATCCCCATCCAGGCAGTCCCCAGGTCCCCCAAAGCGTTTTTTGGTGAGATGTGGACATGGTGGCTGGTGAGGCACGAGGGGGTGGCGGGGGATGTTGGGGTGCAGGGACCTCCGCGGGGTCGTGCTGTTTATGGGGGCCGTTAACGGGGGCATCATGATTCCCCGTTTGCAGCGGTGACAGGAGAAGTGGGGAGCAGTGCTTTCAGCTCATAGGTGGTCTGGGCGTGGGGGCGTTTGGGAGGATCCTGGGGGTGGAGAGGGCCAGCGTTGCCCAAGGATGGGCATCTTGCAGTACCATACATGGGATTCGTCCTGTGTGGCTGGTGCCCAGCCCAGCTGTGTGCCCCGGGGTTGAGCTCCCTTATCCTGCACTGGGACGGGGCCACCACCATGGGCTGGAGCAGCACGAGTTGCGGAGGGAGGGAGAGCAGGGACTAGGACCCTGGGGACCTGGGAGCTGCTCCTCTTGGCCGTCAGGGAAACCTTGCAGAGCCCCGGGCATCGCGGCACGCTGGGCTGGGGCAGGGACAAGGGAATTTCTGCGGCGTGACTTGCCCTCGCCCGCCGGGGGCGCTGCCCTTCGGGGAGCCGCCGGTGCCGGTGAGTGTTTGCTGAGGGCTCTTGCCGACACAGCGCTGACAGGAGCGGGGTGCGGTGGCAGACGGAGACGGCTCGGGGGGGATGGGCAACAGCTCGAGGACTAACTTAGTTTTTTGAGCAGAAAACAGCCAGCCGCCGGCACAGCGCTGACAGGAGCGGGGTGCGGTGGCAGACGGAGACGGCGGATGGGGGATGGGCAACAGCTCGAGGACTAACTTAGTTTTTTGAGCAGCCAGCCCCAGAGCTGAGATGTGCCACAAGTGCAGGGCTGCGAACCCGCTGCCAACCCCCCCCCCCCTCCAGCTTCTACCTTTCTGGGAAAGAAAGCGCATCCCATCTCAGGGGAGACGGGAGCCCGACCCCATGGCCAGAGCCCCCCCAGCCCTGCAGCAGGGCTTGCTGCTGCCTCTGCAGCATTGGTATCCCGGGCTGGGCAGGGGACCAGGGGGACTGGGGACAATTTTTCCCTTCCTGCAGATGCAGAAGCGAACGCTTTGTGCTGTTAAGCTCCCTTTATGCCGGGAGCTGCCCTCTTGGAGGGATCTGGAGGGGGGGCTCTGGGCTGTGCCCGGGATGGATGGAGGCACTCTTCACCCCGGGGGCAGCTGCCTTTTTTTTCCGTAACATGATGCAGCAGCTCGCCTTTCTCCCAACCGGCACAGCTGCTGCCCGCGGCGAGAGGCTGCCTGCTCTGGTGCTGCCCGCTGGCTTTTCCAGCTTTGTGGGGGCTTTTCCAGCTTCGCGGTGTGGGAAAAAAGTACAAAAAGGCGACGAGCATCCTGCAGCATCGTGTTAAGGTTGGGGAAGGGAGGGTTTGGCCAGGGGGTGGGGACGCAGCCGGCAAAGGGGGAACGGTGGTCATGGCACCCGATGGAGGGGACACACACGGGGGCCAGCACGATGTCTGCTCCAAAGGGTCTCAGTAACAGCCTGACGATCTCCGTGGGTGCTGTATGAGGACTGTAGGTGCCCAGGCGCTGCGGTCCCAGCCCTGTGCACGCTGCACCCAGCCTGATGACAGCTCCGTTGTGTCCCCAGGTGGCCAAGGATGTCTCCGTGCGGCTCCACAATGAGCTGGAGGCGGTGGAGAAGAAGAGGATCAGGCTGGAGGAGGAGAATGAGGACCTGCGCCAGCGGCTCATTGAGACAGAGCTGGCCAAGCAGGTGGTGCAGAACGAGATGGACAAGCTCCGAGAGGTGAGTGGGACATGGGAGGGGGGACCGGGAGGCATCCCCAAGGCTCTGCCTGTAGCAGGTGTCCTGGCCCTGCACTGCAGGATCCCCCATCCCTGCTCGCATTGCTGAAACCCAAACCATGCTGCAGATGCCTGCGAAACCCGAGCAGCGCCTGCCCTCAGCGAGGCATGCTTCATCCCGCCCTGCGGGCACCGGGTGGCTCTACCCCGTCCCGGGGGGGGCTATGGGACTTCTCCCCTGCACTAGAGCCACTTTATGGGTCCTCAGCCACTTGCTCCAGCCCTGGGACGTGCCAAACTCCCACAAGCCAAAGCTCTGCATGATGTGTGGAGTCCGCTGTGCCCCTGGCACAGTGCCCGGTGCTGGCTGTATCCTGACCGCATGCTGCTGGTTCAAATTGAGCTCAGCCGCGGGGCTGCATGGCAGCAATGTCCCAGTGGTGCTGCAGATGTGGGTGGGTGCACAATCCCATCTGTGTCCTGGGAAGCCATGTGCCACGCATGTACCTATATGCACGGGTCCAGGGCGCTCCATGCCATGCTGGGTTTGGGACCAGCTCCCAGCCAGGAGCGATGTCATCCTCAGTGACAGGAAAGGCATCCCGGTGACAGCGTGGACTTGTGATCCATCGCAGCACTTGTAACCCACTTCCCTACTGCCTGGGATGCCTTTGGTCCCCGGGGAGCCTTAGGAAGCGTTGCTGGCTGAGCCATCAGGGCAGCGTGTGGGAGGAGATGTGCCGTGTCAGAGCTCAGGCCTTGCTCCCACCGAGGATGGGGACATGACGCGGGGAGGGCTCTCTCTGCCCCCAGCCATGCTCCCCTGCGTGGCAGGGCAGGGAGCCAGCACACAGCTTGGCATCTCTGTGGCCGGCTCCAGTTAATGCCGGGGCCAGCTCCTGGCGAGCCGCAGGACCTGGCTACAGTTGCACCCATCCCCTCTGCAGCCACCTTCTCGCAAAGTGGCACGGAGCAGCGTCACCCCAGACAGGGTGTCTTGTCCCTCCACTGCACAGCCTCTGCTAACAGGCGTGAAATGGGTTTCCCTGCAGCCGGCAAGCGTGAGCTGAATAACAAATGGCAGCAGCGGGAGCTGGGCTGGAGGACTCTCGTGCTTGAAAAACAGGCAGAGAAAACGTTTGCATGGTCAGTGTGCAGGGAGACCTGAGCGCCAGCTGCTGCCTTGCCCTGGCAAAAGAACATGGGACAGGATACAGCCCCTGTCTGCAGCTTCGTGAGCCCGAAGGGGACGCTGCCGGCTGGCACGAGACCCAGCACAGATCAGAGCACAGCTCCCCGAGCTCAGGATGGCGTGTCCCCAGGCTAGCAAGGGCATTGGGGTTACTCACTGATTGCAGAGCGCTAATTAGACAAACAAGTGAGTTAACAGCCCTCCTCCACCTCCTCCCTGCTGCTGGAGGGCACAGAGCGTGGCAGAGCTTGTTAGCAGCCAAGCCAACATGGAGCGGAGGCTGTGCAGGGCTGGGCTCACCTCTCAGGGGTGATTATTTCTCCCTTCCAAGAGGTTTCTCTCGTAATTGGATAATTGTTGGGATGGGCAGATCCATCCCCAAAGGCGCATGTGTTTGACCCTCTGGCTCTACCCCTCCATGGCATCTCCTGGGGGGCAGGAGAAGAGTGGGACCTGTCCAGGTACCCTGTGCCAAGTCTGCCGCATCGAGCTTGGCCGTGATGAGACCCTTAGGCATGGACATCCCAAGGGATGCACCAAGGTGGAGCGATGACAGCCACCATCTGACCCAGGGTGCTGTGCTTGGGGCTGCTTGGGGCCGAGAGATGCCCTTTGCCAGCCCCGGTCCTCAGTGCAGTGGGGGTGAGGGATGCCGACGTGGCACAGCCAGCCCCCGGGAGAGGCTCTGCAGCAGCAGCAGCTCCAGCGATGGTCGTGGCCTTAATAGGAAAGCCTGGAGCCCAGCACCTTGGCACAGGCCGCAGCTTACATTTCACAGCTGCTTTCTTTGGCTGCTGGGCCTCAGTGCCAGCTTGGAAGTAGGTCCAGGGTAGCCGCACGGATCGGCCAGCACCCATGGGGGGCTGCGTGGATGTTCTTGAGGGTTTTCCCCCAGCTCCCCTCCCCAGATAACTGGCCCTGCTCTGGGCACCTGCTTTTTTCCCCCCATTCCGGTGTCCCTTATTGCTCTGTCTGGCCTCCCATCTCCCAGCTGTCCTCAATAGCCTGGAGATCATCCCTTGTGTCCCCAGAGACCCTGAGGGCAGAGTCAGCATCATCCTGCTGAGGAGCCCTCCCCATAGCTAAGCGACCGGGACATGTCCCTTGCTTGGGGAAGAGGCGAGGGGGAACGTCATCATCTGCTGCTCCCACACTGGGATGCCCCAAGAGCCATCCCTTGGCCTGGGTGTTGGATTACCCGCTCCATCCAGCCATGACAGGACTGTGACTTAGCCTCTCCATGGCTCATTTCCTGCTCACTCCTGCTCTCTCTCACTGCTCGCTTGCCTGCAGGGGGAATTTCTGGCCAAACATGATATGATGCTTTCCAGTCCAGCTTCCCCAAAGCAAAGGGCCTCAGCCCACTGGGGCTCTGGTGTTTTCCTGGGGTTCACAAGTGGCTGGAGAAGTCAGCATCGATGTCCATCCATGCTGGGTCTGTCTGTCCGTGCCGGGATGCCGTGCCATCGCTGCGGGTAACAGCTCGCTCTTCTCTCTGCAGAATTCCCTGAAGAAGCGGGCGTCTCGCTCCATCGGGAAGACCGAGAAGAAACCGTCAGTGCAGGTATCGGCGCCGGCGTGTCCGGGGCACGCCACGGTGGCCCACCGGCACCCCAGGTCATGGTGCCAGCTGGAGACTATGCCTGGCCCAGAAGTAAATCTGGGCATGGCAGTGCCATCCCCTCGCTTGCAGGGCTTTCCTGCCTTTCAGAGACCCTGCATAAGGGAGGGATTGATGTGCTGGGCCATCCTCATTGTCCTCAACCACTCCCTTGTGTCACTTATGAATGGAGCGTCAGTGGCCGGCTGGTGGCTTTAACCCTTTCCGTGTGTCAGGACTCCAGTAAGGAGCTGAAGGACTTTGACTTTTACATTGCAAAACTGCTTCTGCTCTTGGGTTGTGGCTGTTGCAGCCTGGGTCCCTCCTGCCTGCACCAGCAGCTCTGCTTGAGGATAGCCTGGGAGCCCCGCGGGGTTTGGGGGAGCTGAGGGTCCCTGTGGGGAACGGCTCGAGGCCGAGCTGTCCCTGCCCTGCGCCAGGCTGCTGGCGTAGAGCAGGGGAGGGGGGATTTGCCGGCGGCAGCAGGATTTCAGCTGTCATTTGCTGTTGGGCTGAGCTGCTGTGACTCACTAATGCTGTTACTGGGGCTCAGAGGAGCAGAGCTGCTGTTGCGGGAATAGAAATGCAAGTGTTTTAATACTGGAAAAAAATTATTTCAAAGGCAAAAGACCTGAAAGGTTTATTTTGGGGAGTAGGTCTGCTCCCCCAAACCTGGGGCAGGGAGGGGGACCCTGTCAAGACACTCCTGCCACATGCTGCTGAGAGCATCTCATGGCGGGGACCCCGAGCACCCTGAGGGTTTCTGGGTGACCTGTGTCATTGCTGGCACAGCCCACTCTGTGCAGCCATGGGACGGGGATCCCCAGGCCCTCAAAGACTTTCCCCTTCGGTCTTTTATTTATCATCTCCCTTTAACTCCATTGTTGAGAGCCCTTTCAGGCCAGCTGATGGTCCCAGCGTCCTGCCCCTCATTTCCCCAAAGAGCAGTCCGTGGCTTTGCACCTACACCCGGCTGTGCCCTGAGCCGAGGGGGCTGTCCGGGAGCCCCTCCATCACCCCCCTTCCCGAGGCTGAAATACAGCCCCTCCTCTGCCTCTTCCCTGGGCCGGAAACAAACCCCAGCCCTGGGCTGCAGTAAAACCCCCCTCTGCTTCCCACATCCCCGCGGAGCCGAGACCCCTCAGCCTGGGGACACGGGGCTGGATGCGGCCCCAGCTCTGCGCTGGGACCAATGCTCCAGGAAGGAGCCGGCGCTGGAAAGCAAACCCCGAGCTTCCCCTGGTGCAAACGCCCCTGGATGTGGCCCCCCCAGCCACTCCCTCTCCCACGCAGCCGTGGTGGCCCCGCAGGCACAGATGCTGGTGACTCATCGGTGGCTTCCTGGGCCCCTTTCTTGCCCGGCCGCGCTGGGCGAGCGTCGGTGCTCACCGAAAATGGAGCTGGGGGGACAGACTCAACGCTGAGTTCTGCCCCAGACCCCAGGAGCACTCGAGGTGGTTTTGGGGACGTGTGTGTCCCTCCAGTGATGCCAAAGGGCAGAGGGACACGCCGGGCTGCTGCTTTTTTTTTCCCTGGAAAAACAGGAACTGAGGTCATGTCTGCCCCGGCGGGGAGAGCTGCCCGCGCCAGCCCTCCCCTAATCTCCGCAGCTAATTAGGGGGGGGCACAGCTTTAATGCGCCTTAGCGAGGCCGCATCTCAGTGCGCGAGTGCGGAAGAGCAGCAGGGTGGTTCCTGTGGTCACAGCAGGGCATTTGGGGAATAAAACAGCACCCCAAACTCATGGGACCCCCCCATCGCCCCTGGCCTCAATATGAGCAGCCCAGGAAGTTTGCAGAGTAAATAGCTGCTGCGGGGTTTGGGGGGTGTGAGCGTGGGCATGGCTGGACGGGGCTGGGGGGTCAGGAGCACCCAAAGAGGGGGATAGCTTGTTTCTGCCAGCCAAGGAAACAGGAAAGGGGATGAGTTCAGCCAGGCGGAGGGCTGCTGGGGCCAGCAGCCACCCGGCCAAAGGGCTCGGCCACCTCTAGCACCCGCCCAGGGCTTCAGCACGTGCTGCGGGGCAAGAGTCACAGCCCGGCAGGTCCCCTCCTGGCAGTCACTGCGCCAGAGCTTGGAGCACTCAAGTGACCCCACGGCACGGGAAGCCACAAGCTGACGTCAGGAAATCCTGGTCCTCCATCCAAAAAGCTTTCCAAAGCAGAGAAACGGTCTGCCTGGGCAAATAGCCGAGATCCTAACTGCTAAATTTAAAAAAAGCACGTGGAGAAACGGCCCCAAGAAGCAAAGGGGCTTGGGAAGGGACCAGCGAGCTGATGCGGGGGGTGTGCCTGGGTTTTCTGTCCCCTGGCAAGGTGGTGGCAGCAAGGATGAGTGCTGGGCGAGGGCTGGGACTTCGGGAGATTTCCAGCTGAAACCGCTGCTTCTCTGCCCCGTGATGGAGTGTTTGGGGCTGAGCAGGAGGAGCAGAGCCCCGGTGGGGGGGCTGCAGCGGCAGCAGCACCAATTGTTTCAGCGCTTGCCAGCTTTTGGGAGGAAACCTTGGTGACTTTTATTTTGCTCTGTGGAGTCTGACGGCTTTTCCTCTCCCTCTTCCCCGTGATGGATTGGGCTGCGGCAGGGCTGGGCTCGGTCCCCGCATCCCCAGCAGCGGCTCGATGTCCTTCCTGGGGCCGGAGCCATGGGTCTCCTCGTCCAGGCATCCTGTCCTGTGTCCGGGCTCTCCCTGAAAGCCTCCAGGATGGATCTCAAAGTTTTTTCCCCTTCATGAGCAGGGGCTGCAGCTTCCCTGGGATCACCAGGGTGGGAGGGTGGCATGTCCCCAGGGCTCGCTCAGAGGCACTGCGGCCCCTGGGAGTGCTTTTCTAATGCCTGTGCCCTCTCGGTCCCCAGGAGGACAGCGCAGACCTGAAGTGCCAGCTGCATTTTGCCAAGGAGGAGTCGGCCCTGATGTGCAAGAAGCTGACCAAGCTGGCCAAGGAGAACGACGGCATGAAGGAGGAGCTGCTGAAGTACAGGTCCCTGTACGGGGACCTCGACAGCTCCCTCTCCGTGGAGGAGCTGGCCGACTCTCCCCATTCCCGGGAGGCCGAGTTGAAGGTCCACCTCAAGCTGGTGGAGGAAGAAGCCAACATCCTCAGCCGGAGGATAGTGGAGCTGGAGGTGGAAAACCGCGGGCTGCGGGCGGAGATGGACGACATGAAGGGCCAGGGGGACAGAGAGCTGCCGGGGCAGGACGTGCGGTTCCTGGCGGGCATCTCGGGCTGCGGGGACGCGGGGGACACGGTGGCGGAGCTGCGCCGGCACCTGCAGTTCGTGGAGGAGGAGGCCGAGCTGCTGAGGCGCTCGCTGCTGGAGCTGGAGGACCAGAACAAGCTCCTCCTGAACGAGCTGACCAAGTACAAGTCAGACCATGAGCTGGATGTGACACTGTCGGAGGACAGCTGCTCGGTGGTCAGCGAGCCCTCGCAGGAAGAGCTGGCCACGGCCAAGGTGCAGATCAGCGAGCTGAGTGGCAAGGTGAAGAAGCTGCAGTATGAGAACCGCGTGCTGCTCTCCAACCTCCAGCGCTGCGACCTGGCCTCTTGCCAGACCAGCCGGCCCATGCTGGAGACCGACGCCGAGGCTGGTGACTCAGCGCAGTGCATCCCTACCGCCGGCTGGAGGGATGGGATGGGCAGCAGCGAAGCCGATGGGCAGGACAGGGTGCCCGGTGGTGGGAAGGTGCCCGATGGTCCCACCAAGCTGTTCAAGCCCAAGGACCTGGAGATCTTGCTGGGCATCCGGGACCAGGCAGCACTCGTCAGCAAAGCAATTGACATCTTGATTTCGGATGCCAACGGCTTCACCTCCGGGCTGAAGGCTTGCTTGGACAACGAGTGCGTGGGGGGGCTGCTGGGCGAGGCAGTGGGTAGCGGCGGGGAGAGCCCCAGCGATGCCAAGCTGATGAACGTGCTCCTCATGCGGCTGGGTGTGCTCCAGCAGGACCTGGGCTGCTTCGCAAGGAAGGTGGACCACCTAACCGGCGGCCTCAAGGAGCACACGGACTCTTTCCCCTTCTCTGGCCCCGGCAGCCACGACACCACCAAAGAGGGGCTGCAGAAGGAGCATGCCTCCGACTTCCAGGTACGGGCTTCTTCCCACGTCCGCCACAGCTGCCGCCGCTTTATTTGCCGCCCCGTTTCCTCCCGCTTTAACGGAGCAAACCCCAACCCCCAACGTAACCTCCCTCCTGCCTCTCCAGAACAAAACCCAAACTAACACCTCGCTGCATGCCAGTGGCACCGGGGACAAGGTAGGACTCTGCTCCAACAGAGTGTGCCCAGGGCAGGAGGCGGTGGGCATCCTGGAGCATCCCGGCACGGGCTGGCTGTGCTGAGGCTGCCCTGCCCACGGCCAGGGGCTCTCAGGTGCGATCCCGCCTTAGCAGGCGTTGACGTTTCAGCTGCTTTCCACCAGCTCAGCCCAACATCCCCAGCTCGGAAGCTCTTTGCTTATTGGGGATGAGCTGGGTGGGAGGAGAGCAACCTGCAGCCTCCTGAAAGCAGCCCAAATTGCGGGGACCCCAGTTGCAAGAAGCCTCAGCCCCCAGTGGTACCCAGGCAGGGTAATTTGGAGAGCAAAGGCTCCTGGGCAAATCTGCATCTGATGGGGAGCACCTTTGGAGCAGCGGAGAGCAGCTCATGCCCTGCCGTCCCTCTCCTCTCTGGGGGGCCCAGCTCATGCCGGGGACCAGGGATGTCAATAGTGGTTGGGGCTGCTGGCACAAGCCCCTTTCTGGAGCACACTCGCTTGTTCAGAGTCCTATTTTTCTGCATGTGGTCCCACCAGCCCCAGGTCCCAGTCTCCCCCAGTCACTGCATGGCACCGTAACTGGTGTTTGCACATTTTTTCCCTCTTTCTCTCTTTTTTCCCCTTTCCCCAAACAATCCAGGCCACGTGTCTCCTCATCCTGTGTTTCCTTTTGGTTTCCGCATTGTCTCCTGCCATGGTGATGAAGCTCCTTCTCCTCATCATCCTTTTTGTTGTCTTGTAGTTCTTTACTGTTTCGGAGACCCATTGTTTTGTTTTCTGGCTTTTTTTTCTTCCCGCTCTTTTGGTTTGTTCTCATTAACTTGCCCACGCATGCAGCAGCCTGATTTTAGGGACGCCGACCCTTACCGCATCCCCCACGCCAAGGACACGGACCCCGCGCATCCCCGGAGCTACAAAACCTGCCGGCCTGAGGAGAACGACTCCTACGCCACTGAGGTACGACGCAGGCAGGGAGCCGTGTCCCCTTGGCCAGTGGGGTTGGGGACAAGGCTATGGGGACGGGGCTGATCCTCTTGAGAGCCGGGGACAAGGGAAGCTGCAGACCCCCATTGGGGAGGGACACGGGGAGGCGCAGCCAGGTGCAGCCCACCGTCCCCATCCCCTCCCCGGGCTGTTGCAGATGAAGGAGCTGCAGCTGGTGCTGTCAGAGGCCAACGAGAGCCTGCGGGGACTGCAGGAGCAGCTCTCACAAGAGAGGCAGCTGAGGAAGGATGAGGTGGACAACTTCTCACAGAAGATCTGCCAGGTGAGTAGGCAGCAGCCCCGATCTCTGGGATACAGGTGTCCCCACGCCCACAGCTGTGTCACCTCCAGCTGCAGGCTGATGGCCCACCTGGGGACCCGGGTGTCATGCAGTACCACATACAGCACGTCCCAACTTCAAGGGGCACAGGGGCTGAGCACACTCCTCCTTGCACATGAGTGTGCAGCCATGCAGGGCTTCCACCCATGGTGATGCCTCGATGGCACCGCTGTCCCCAGTATGCTGCCAGGGCGTTGCAGCTCTCCAGGGGTGTTAAATATGGGGCCAGCACCAGCCTCAGCCCAGACTCTGGGGCGGAGGCACCACACTGCTGCCGCCAGCCCCTGTCTCAGAGCCCGCATGTCTCTCTGCAGCTGAAGGAGGACCACCAGAAAGCGCTGCTGCGGCGGGAGTTCGAGCTGCAGAGCCTGAACCTGCAGAGGCGGCTGGAGCAGAAGTTCTGGAGCCAGGAGAAGAACCTGCTGGTGCAGGAGTCACAGCAGTTCAGGCAGAGCTTCCTCCTGCTCTTCATGAAGCTCAAGTGGTTCCTCAAGCGCTGGCGCCAGGGCAAGATGGTGCACAGCGAGGGCGAGGACTTTTTGGAGGTACTGTGGGCTGAGGAGCTCCCACCTCTGCCGTGGAGGGGGGACCACGCTGTCGGGCATCCCCGGGGCTGTCCCTCGTGCCTACATGTCCCACCCAGGCCTGCTTGGGTGTCCCCCATCCCTGGCCGTGGGCTGTGGGTCCCCTCATCACCCCAGCCGTGGTGTCTCCCGCAGGTGAACAGCATGAAGGAGCTGTACCTGCTGCTGGAGGAGGAGGAGCTCGCCCCACAGCAGCAGGCTGACAACAAGACGTGCGCTGGGGACACCTGGACCCCCAACACGGTGAGCGAGGTCCTCACGAGCCCGGGGGTGGGCAGGATCAGCCCCCGCTGCGGCTGCATGGCATGGGGTGACGGCTCCTCTCGGGGTGCATGGCTGGGAGGGGATGCTCCCCGCTGGCATGTCACTCCCAGGGGTGGTCCCCTGCCCTGGTGGCACCCCCTGTCCCTCACCCCAGGGGTGAGCAGCCTGTGGGGCTGGGTTGCAGAGAGGGCAGCTCCCACGGGGTCCCACCCTGTTGGGTGCCCTCCATTGCGGGGCCCCAGCTCCCTCCGCTCACCCCCGATCCCCCGGCAGCCCAACGAGTGCATCAAGACACTGGCGGACATGAAGGTGACCCTGAAGGAGCTGTGCACAGAGCTGCGGGAGGAGCGGCACGGCGCCAGCGAGCTGCAGCAGCAGTTCACCAAGGCCAAGGCTGCCTGGGAGATGGAGCGCGCCGAGCTCAAGTGCCATATCGCCCAGGTGGGAGCCCCAGGCACCCTGCGGGCTGGTGGAGCTCCCCCTTGCCTGGTGGGGATGTGGGGCTGGGGGGCTGCCTGCGCCGTGTGCCAAGCGCTGGCTGTGGGGCAGGGCTGGGAGGCAGGGTGGCACTGTGGGAATCTCAATTAGCAGCCGCTCCAGCAGGCGAGTTTCTATAGCAACGGGGCTGGCATGAAAATCTGACTGTGGAGCAGCAGAGGATGCTCTTTATTCCTCCACTGTGTTTGTCTGGGGCGGGCGAGATGGTACCAGGGCTCAGCATCCTTCCCCAGGACAGGCATCTGGGAGTGGCATCAGAGCCCTCCTCTCCTCCCCTGGGTCACGGCGCAGGTGGGGGCTCTGCACCCCCATAGATGCTGCAAGAGGGATCTACAGCTGCGGGGAGGGCAGCCTCGGCACTGGGGGAAGCACCTGCCTGCAGAAGCAGTCCAATCAGTCTCCCAGCCCTGCCCTCACAGCGATGAGGGTTTTCCGCTCCCTCACACTGTGCTGGCAGCAGCCTGTGGCCGTACATCAGCGCCGTTCCCCAGAGCGGGTGCCAGCACCTTCCAGGCAGGATTTCTCCAGGCAGAGCTCAGCGGTGGTCCCCAATTCCCCTCTCTCACCCCCAAAAGAGAGCAGAGCTGCCGCGGTGGCAGCACCCCAGTTTCAGGTGCCTTCCTGGCTGCCAGCAGCAGCAGCATGCTCGGGATCTGCTCTGCCAGCCCTGCAGGTGATGCTGCCCCTCTCCAGGAGCCGGGTCCAGCAGGAAGGATTGCAGGG